TGCGGCACGCGTGCTGGAAAGGTAGGGGCCTGATGGGCGCCGTGCGGGCTGGGGGTGCGGGCAGAAGGGGGCGGGGAGAGGGGGGCAGCGAGGTGGAGGGCGAAGGGTGAGGAGGAGGAGGAGGAGGAGGAGGAGGAGGAGGAGGAGGAGGAGGAGGAGGAGGAGGAGGGTGGGCCGTGGAAGTGCCTCCCCCTCCCATCCCCGTCTCTCTCTCGCTCTCTCTCTCTCTCTCTTTCTCTCCCTCTCGTCCCTAAAAGATTCCCTGGGGTGGTCCTGGGCGCTCCTGGGTCTTGGCGCGTAGCTGTCCCCGAGGCCCCGGGCGCGCGGCTGGGACTCCCCCCCCCAGGTCATTTCATTGAAGGGACCCAAGGGCACACACACACACAGAGATGGACGCACGTCCCAGAGAGCCCTCTATTCTCGCATGTTCTCTCGCGTTTCGTCCTCCCCCCCCTTCCACTTCCCATAGTTTCCCGCCTTCTCCTGGGAATCGACGGCTCTTAGTCGCCAAGGGCCCGCCTTGAGGCTCTCTCGGGGGCCCCGTAGGCTGCCTTGGCGGCCCCCAGGGCCGGCCCAGGAGGCCCAGCGCCACGGAAACGCCTGACGCTCGTCGGTCGTGAGAGCGCGCAGGAGGGCCGGCAGGGGGATAAAAAAGTGGAGCCCCGTCGTCTTCGACCCCGTGATCGCCCCCCCCCCCCCCCCCCCACCTCCAGCCCCCCCCTCCCCTCAATTTCAAAAGCTGGCTTCGGCCTCCCGGAGGCCCTGGTGGTTCCGCTTTTTGTCCTGGTCCTCTGACGCCTGTGCTGCCGAATGCTTGGGGCCGATTTTGCAAGTGGGGGAAATGGGGGGGCGCGGTGTCAAGGGTTCCACTTTTTTGTCCATCTATGGGCCCGCGGGGCTCCAAAGATTGTCGCAAGGGCCTGGTAGGTGTGGCGCTCGCTCGGAGAGTCGCGCCACGCTCTATGTCGGGCCCCTTGCTGCAGCTGCACGGGGTCCTGACGCATTTTTGAATCTAACCCGTCTCCCCTCCCCCTCTTCCTCCATCTTCCTGCCCCTGTGCCGCCTCCTTCTTCTCTTCCTCCCTCCCTCGCCTCCCCTCCCTTTCTGCTCTCTCCCCCAAGCAATTCCCCCGCCCCACTCCCCCCTTCTCGTCCGTCCCACCATCCCCCCACTGGGAGAACATCTCGGAGGACGAGCGAGCGACTCAGCCACCACGTCAGCTGGAGAAGAACAGAGAGTAGCAGAAAGCATCCGATAGACAGGCAGGCATCGTACGCAGCTCATGCCAGGAGCGAAACCTTCTGGCATACTGAACTAAAACGGGGGAGGCACATGTTCGAGGCATCACGTATGTCTTAAGGTAGTCAATGGACCTTGAACTTGAACAACGCTGTGGTTTCCAGCTGGGGCAGTCCCTCCTCCTCCTCCTCCTGCTCCTCCTCCTCCCCCTCCTCATCATCCCCTCCTCCACCTCCTCCTCCCTCCTCCTCCCTCCTCCTCCTCCTCCTCCTCCTCCTCTCTCTCCTTCCTCTCCTTCTCCTGCTCCTCCTGCTCCTCATCCTCCTCCTCCGCCTCCTCCTCTTCTCTTGTTATTGAAATTCATCCTCCTCCTGTGTTCTTCCTCCTCCTCCTCCTTTCCTCCTCCTCCACATCCTCCTCTCTTCCTCGTCATCTTCCTCTTCCTCGTCCTCGTCCTCCTCTCCTCTCCACCACTCTCCTCTCCTCCTCCTCTCCTCTCCGTCTCCTCTCCTCTCCTGTCCTGTTCCTGTTTCTCCTCCCAATTCCTCCTGCTTTTCCTTCTGCTCCTCCCTCCTGCTCTTCCCCTCCTCCGTCCTCCCTCCCTCCCTCCCTCCCTCCCTCCCTCCCTCCTCCCTCCCTCCCTCTTCTTCCTCCTGCTCCTCCTTCTCCCTCCTCCTCCTCATCATCATCCTTCTCCTCCTCCTCCTCTCCTCCTCCTCCTCCTCTTGCTCCTACGCCTGCTCCTGCTCCTGCTCCTGCTCCTCCCTCCTCCCTCCTCCCTCCTCCCTCCTCTCCCTCCTCCCTCCTTCCTCATCCCTCCTCCTCACTCCCCCTCCTCCTCCTCCCTCCTCCTCCTCCTCCTCCTCCTCCTCCTCCTCCTCCTCCACCTCCTCCTCCTCCTCCCTCCTCCTCCTCCCTCCTCCTCCTCCTCCTCCTCCTCCTCCTCCTCCTCCTCCTCCTCCTGCGGTTTTCCTGCGGTTTTCCAGAGGCCTACGCCGTTTGAGCACGCCACTACGCCAACCCGGGGAGGGGGGAGGACGATGGAAGCGGCAGCAGCGGCGGCAGCAGGAGCGCAAGGAGGATGGGAGGAAGAGGGGACTGCCTGCCGCCGCTGGACAGGTGCGGCAAGATGGCACCTGCATTTCAAGAGAATTTAGGGGGCCAGGGGCACCACGGGGCCCAGGCCGGGCCAAGGCGGGCCGAGGCGGGGCCGGGGGCACCCAGGAGCCAGGCCGACCCTAGGCAGCGCAACGGACGGGGCCCGGCCCTACGCTAAGCGTAACTGTTGTGGGGCCGGCTCAGGCCGCCCACCAGCCGCGGGGCCGCGGTCTTGCTCCCTGGTCCGGGCGCCTTCCGCCTCCGACGGTCTCGCCCTGGGGCTCTCCGTCGCGAGGCAGCTCTCTTCTCGGGGTACTGCGAGGCCTCCGTGCACCGCCAGGCGGGGGCGCTCGCCTCGGCTGGGCTGCAGGCGGCCGCCAGGCGCCGGGCGCCATGCCCCAGCCACGGCCGCGGCAGCAGCCAACCCCTCGGGCCGCTGTGCTGCGGCGGCTGTCCGGTGCAGCACACGCCGCTGCGCCGAGGAGTGACGCTGGCTCAAGTCCTGCAGCGCCTCCGCCTTGGCATCCAGCAGGTCCATGAGCATCTCAACGGCCCTGTCGAGGTCGCCCTGGTCCTCTGACTGGGCGGCGAACTCGGGCATGCCCAGCGCGTTCCAGTTGACGAAGTGGATGTGGGTCCCCTTGGGGACAGCCTGGCGGATGAAGGTGATGTACTCGTCGTCGTCGCCGAGCAATAGGCTCCTGACCTCCTGCAGCGGCACGGCGCGGTGGACGTCCACCGGGATGCTCTGGGAGAGGAGCTCTTCCCCCGCTCGGGCTTCGCTCACGTCCGAGATCGCACCGACCGAGCCTGCGTCATCATCATCCCCGGTAGCGGAGGAGTCATGCAGCAGCCATCGCAGGTGGTGGTCGTCGCCATCCTCCTCTCTCTGCTCGGGGGCGCCCTGCCCGCTGTCCTCGAACTCTCGTTCCTCCATGTCGGCGGCCCCGTTCTCTTCCAGCCCGCGGGGGCTGGCCCTGTCCGAGGCGAGCTGGACCAGGAAGGCCCCATCCGGAGCCTGGGCCACCAGGAGCGGGGGCTGCTGCCGCAGGAAGGCCACGGTGTCGAAGTAGCCCACGGCCTCGACATCGAGGTTGAAGAGGAAGCGGGCCCGAAAGGCTTGCTGGATACTGGCCACCGGGACTGGCCCGCCAACGCTGTCCTCCAGGAGCTGCACCACCTTGTGGGCGAGCATGTGCGCGATGCGGCCCTGGTCTTCGGGGGGCAGCTGGCGGCCGCCAGGGCCCGGCGGGGCGGCCACGGCGGCCAGCTCGGAGCCCTCGCAGCTGGCGCTGGCGGACTCGTCCGCTTCCTCCTCTGGGATGCTGGCTAGCAAACCCGCGCCGTGGAGGTGGGCCCGGCCTTCGTCGCCGCTGCACGGCTGCGCCTCGGCCTCACCGTCGCCGGCTGCAGCTGCCGCGTCCAGCTGTGGAGGCGAGGGGGTCTGCCTGGCCTGAGTCGCCGCCTCGGCTTCGGCTTCGGCTTCGGCGGACTCTGGCTGCTGCCTGCTGCCAGCCTCGGCTTCGGAGACCTCTGGCTGCAGCCAGCGCGGGTCCACGGGCAGGGTTGGTGAGAGGCCTTCCGACCCCCCGCCCGTGGAGTCCTGGCCAGGGGCGGCCTGCGCGGGCGCGGCCACCGGGCCCCACTGGGCCTGCACCAGCTGCCAATCGATGGGGCGTTGCCCCAGCAGTTGCGGGTCCTGGCAGTTGCGGGTCCTGGCGGCGGCCTCCTGCAGCTGCTCCTCGTGGTGCGCGAGGCGGCTGTCCGCGGCGCTCCCAGCGCAGTCGGCCGCACACCTGGAGCCGGCAGCGGCGCGGCGGCGGGCCTGGCTGGCGGCCAGCGCGCTCGCCGCGGCCTCGCCCACGCGGCTCGGCGTCGGGTAGGCCACGGCGGGGACGGCCCGCTCGGCTGGCACGAACGTGGCCGCCTCTGCGCGCAGGCACGAGGCGCAGCCGGTCTGCCCACCTGAGGGCGGCACCGCAACCGCGGCCTCGAGGCGGCAGACTGCCGCGGTGAGGCTGGCCAGCTGGCCCTGGACGCCGTCGAGGATGCCGAACAGCTCCTTCTCGTCGCCGGGCCCAGCTGGCGTCCAGCCTTCGCGCCCCTGGGACTCCGACTGCTTGTACTCCGACTTCTTCTGGTTGTACTCCGAGTGGTTGTACTCAGACTGGTTGTACTCCTCGTGCCAGCTGCGCGTGTACCAGTCCTGATTGTACTGCTTCTCAGGTTGCATCAGCATGGCGACGTCCTGCACGCGCGGGGCGTGGCCTCGGCGGGCCGCGAATCCCAGCCGGCGCGCCGCCGCCTGCTGCTGTCTCAGCGTCTCCTGCGCTGGTGCTGTCTCGCCCGCGCGGGGCGGTCTCCGTGGTCTCGGCTGGCTCCAGCCGGTGTGCATCTCGTGCCACTGCTTGGCGGGCGCGGCAGCGGCGGGCCCGATGGCCGACCCGCCGCGGCGCGCGTGAGGCCCGGCCGTGGGCGGGGGGCCCAGCCGGGAGGGGCGCGATCGGCCGATCGCGATCGGTCCCCGGCCAGCCCCTCGGCCAGATGCCTTCTCCTCCTCCTCCACCTCCTCCTCCTCCTCCTCCACCTCCTCCTCCTCTTCCTCCTCCTCCTGCTCCTGCTCCTCCTGCAGCCAATGAGGCGTGAGAACATCGTGGGCGGTCCTCCTGCACCACTAATCTCGGGGGAAACTGGAACTCCGGGGACAAGTGGGATCCCGAGTCCTGTGCGCGCGGAGATCGCAGAAGGATCTGGCTTAGGTCTTAGGTATCTGCTGCGCTGAGCTGGATGAATTGGACGAGGAGGAGGAGGAGGAGGAGGAGGAGGAGGAGGAGGAGGAGGAGGAGGAGGAGAAGGAGGAACACGGAAAGGAGGAGGGTTAGGAGGAGGAGGAGGAGGAGGAGGAGGAAGAGGAGGAGGAGGACGACGAGAAGAAGGTCGTGGACGAGGATGATGATGAGGAGGAGGCGGAGGAGGAGGAGGCGGAGGAGGAGGCGGAGGACAATGAGGACGAGGAAGAGGTCGCAGACGGTGGGGAGGGGAGAGATGGCGCTGCTGCGCTGCTGGCAAGGAAGAGAAGGGAATGACACATGGCGAACGCCATGACGCCCAAGCGCCGAGACCATCACATCCGCTCGGCGTCAGCCGCGCCAGCTTGCCCCAGCCCTCCCAGCGGATCTGTGCCGCGCCCGCGCCTGCGCCCCTCGCCCCCAGGGAGCCACGCGGCGCCGATTTCCAGGACCGACGGGGGGGGCCGAACTCCCGTCGGCCCAGGGGGCCGCGGTGTCTGCCAGGGCCGCGAGGACCCCCCGGGGCTGCGCATCCGCCACCAGCCCGGGGAGAGCCCCCTCCCGCGGGAAGGAAGCAAGCGAGCCAAGAGGGCAGGAGGAGAGAGGGGAAGGAGACGGGAGGGGAGAGGCCCCCTCGCGCAAGGGACCCCAGCGCTGGCCCCCCGCGCCGGTGATCTGGCGGCAACGTCTCGTCGAGGCCTGCTGGCAACGTCTCGTCGAGACTGCGGCACCGGGACGATGCCCGCGTGCAGCGCGCAGTAGTCCGCCACCGTGCCGCGAGGCACGAGTTGGAGTGCCCTCAGGCCCCCGGTAGGCCTCAGAGTCCTCAGCCCTCAGGATTGAGTATGGAGGGGCCCGGGCCCCAAACTCTCAAATTTAGATGTTCCAAGGTTCCCAGCGTGCCTCCCACTGTTCCCCAGCGCTTCCCGCACAACTTGTGCGGAGTCACGCGCGCCCCCAAGCAGGCCAAGAGGGCCCCGAGAGGACTCCGAGACGGTCCAGGGGGGCTTCGAGTCGCCGGAAGATCGCTCCAAGACACCCAAGGTGGCCCACAGACGGCCCAAGAGGCCCTTCAAGACGCTCCAAGAGAGCCCCAAAAGCACGTTCAAGAGGGCTCCGAGAAGCCCAAACCCTGGCTGTTCTTAGATGTTTGAGCGAATTTCCGTGTTCTCGCCAATTCGGTCTTCCGACGCTCCAAGACGCCCCAAGATGCCCTCAACATCGCTCCACGACCGCCCAAGAGGCCCCTCAGAGGGTCCCAAGACGGCCCAAGAGGCCCCGAAGATGGCCCAAGCGGGCTCCAAGACGGCCCAAGAGGGCCCCAAGCTGGCCCCAAGAGGGGACACCCAGACACTGACTTTTCGTGCCCTGCGCCCCAAGAGGGCCACTGAGACTGCCAGCAGGCCCCCAAGAGGCCCCCGAGAGGCCCCCAGAGGCCGCCAAGAGGCCCCAGAACTGCCCCCAACCTTCCCCGAGACCCCAACAGGCAGCCCTGAGGACACTGACCCACAGCCTTAGGCGTGGTGGCGGGTTGGGCCGAAGGCCAGTAGGATCGTTTTTTCTAGCTGTTTGGCTGCCTCCTAAACGCCGACCACCGCCGCCGCCTCCTCCTCCTCCTCCTTCTTCTCCTCCTCCTCCTCCTCCGCCGCCGCCGCCGCCGCCGCCGCCGCCGCCGCCGCCTCCGCCTCCTCCTCCTCCTCCTCCTCCTCCTCCGCCTCCTCCTCCGCCTCCTCCTCCTCCTCCTCCTCCTCCCTCCTCCTCCCCCCCCCGTCTCCTCAGCGACCTCCCTGTCCTCGATAGGAACCGCGAGCTGCGCCTCGATGGCACGCGTGCCCGGCCTCTGGAGCGTGAGGCTCTGCGTCTCGAGGTCCATCCGGCGACCGCGAGGTCCACACGTCGAGGCTCTTCCAGCGGGGCCGGCCGTCGAAAGTGGTTAAGGACGGACCGAAAATAGGGGGCCACATGCGAACCCGACCCCTACCCCCCACGATTTCTGAGGGGGAGGGAGAGGTTCACTTCGTTCGGGAGCTCCCGAGCGAAGTGAACCCCACACTCCCCCTCAGAAATCGTAGTGGGTAGGGGTCGGGTTCGCATGTGCCCCCCTAGAAAAGGCAAGGAGGCAAGGGTACCCGTGGGAAGCTTACCCACCCCTATCATCGATTTCGACTGTACCGCGGCACGACTGTTGAGTCTGGCCGGGAATTTGTCAGCCGTCGCTGGTCCCCGATCGAACCTCGGCTCATCGTATGAGTCGCGCGCGCCGAACCTCGTCCTGATATCCGAACAACGAGGGTGCACCAAGTGGACCTCGCAGACGACACAATGACGCTCAAGTGCGGCACACATGGTACACAACGCAACGCAACATGTTGCTAACCATCTTCGGTTGTGTTAGTGAACCAGTCGTTGGAGCTCACCGCAATGACGACGATGCTGGTATCCACCTGCGCGATCAGGTAGTCGAGGGCGAGATGGATCATCATCACGCCCATCATCATGACCCTCACTGAATCCCATACGAAACCATACTCAAACCTGAACGCTATTTTCCGGCATATGCGCAGGACGCCTTCCGCGTGGCCAGAATGCCTCCCGCACTCGCTGAGTTCTTCGGTATTCCCCATCATGGGATCAAATATGCACTCCTTCCATGACGTAGAAACGTTGCTCGTACATCTGGTTGGGCCCTTTTTCCCACCGGGTCGAGGGTCTCCAGGGCACTGTCGTAGACTCTCTTCATCGCGAGTAGCTGCACGGCCTTATTCCTCCTCCTACTGCTCCTTCCCTCCTCTCCTCCCCCTCGTCCTTATCCTCTTCCTCCGCCTCTTCCTCCTCCCTACGATGTTCAAGGGAACAATGGTCCAACCGAACAAAAAACACGGACTATCCCCTGGACAACTCGGACAATCCATGTTGATTAATGACGACAGGACGACCTACCACTGGATACCCGTTGGACAACCTAGCGGGGATCCGCGCAACCCCACCGAACAACCACCCTTGGACAAACCTCCCTGGGATTCTTCCATGAGATATAAGCAGTATCCCACACACCGTTCTCCCCACTCCTCCTCCTGCACCTGCTTCGCCTTTCTCCTCCTCTGCGCGTTCCGTGATTCTGGGCTGCGTCAACCCTCCTCGCGGAGCTGCGCGTCCCAAGAGGGAGGGGTGACGAGTGGTGACTGAGGGAAGGAGAAGAAGGAGGAAAAGGAGGAGGAGGAGGAGAAGGAGAAGGAGGAGGAAGGGAAGGGAGACGAGGACGGCGATGAACGCCAATGGATGCCAACGTGTCTCAAGCGTCTGTTTTGAAAACCTTTGGAGCAGCATGCTGCGAAGGACTGGCGCGCAGCCCCTGACCACGCGCTCCGCAGTTTGGTAGGACTGGGCTGGACCCTTTTTCCCCACTGGGTTGGGTGAGGAGGAAGGATGGTGGTGGTGGTGGTGGTGGTGGTGGTGGTGGTGATGACGATGCTTATGAACATGAAACAAACAATAATGACGATGATATTCGTAGCGGCTGGGGGGCGACCGCCGCCCCGCGCGCCCGAATGCCCGAACGGACAAACCGACGCATGCCAGATGAAATGGGTCGGTTTCCCGGGCAGCACAAAGAGGCTAGCGGACGAGGCTCTAAAAACGGTGTGAAGCCGTCGAGGTAGATGCTGATGGCAAGGTGGTAGACTCTGGGATGATGGGGATATTGGAGGAGATCTGGTCGTGCATTTTCTGGATGATGGTCCCCTTGTCGGCTAGCATCTGGTCGTACTCCTTGCAGGCGGCCGAGAGCACGGCGTCGGTGCGAGCAAAGGGAGCATCGGCGAGCTCCTTGAGCTGGAGCTCGGCGCGGGTCTCTATCCCGATCTTCATCTCGTCCATCGCTTTCACATATCGCTGCTCACTGGCGTCAAGGAGGAGGCGCACGATGAGCGTGGGGTCGTCATGAGCGTCGCCGACCACGTCGAAGGCCGAAGGAAAAAGTTTGCGACGAACACGGTGCTGTCATCCGGAGCCTGTTCAGCACGACTATCCCGACATGGACCATGAGGTTGCTCCCGTAGGGCGTGATGGTCCGCATGTCAATCGTGGAGGTCAACGCGTGGCGCGCGAAGCTCAGCCTGCGGGGCGTGCGGCTCCGCCAGTGGAGCGTGATGTTCCGCATGTGGGGCGTGAGGATCAGCCCGTGGAACGCGAGGATCCGCGCGTGGAGCGTGAATTTCGCCCTGTGGGGCGTGATGGTCCGCATGCTGAGCGTGGCGATCAGCGCGTGCTGCATGCAACCCAGCTAGTGAGTCGTGAAGATCCGCCCGTCGAGCGTGAGGCTCCGTCGGTGGAGCGAGGTGGCGCACCCGTGGAGGGTGCGCTTCCTCACGCGGAGCGTGATTCTCCGCGTTTTGGAGCGTGGTCATCATCACGTGCTGCATGAAGCTGGCCACGTGGAGCGCGAGGACCCGCCAGTGGAGCGTGAGGTTCGGGAGGTGGAACGTGATGATCGGCACGCGACGCGTGAAGCTCAGCCCGTGGAGCTTGAGGATCCGCCCGTGGCGCGTGGAATGTAAGGATCTTCGCGTGGAGCTACGGGATGATGATGATGATGACAATGATGATGATGATGATGATGATGATGATGATGATGATGATGTTGATGATGATGATGATGATGATGATGATGTTGATGGCGATGATGCTGGTGATGGTTATGATGACGATGATGAGGAGGACGAGGATTATAATTATAATGCTGATGCTGATGCTGAAACTGGTGTTGCTGCTGCTGATGATTGTGATGATGGTGATGATGATGAGGATGGTCATGCTGATGTTGAGGATGGTTCCGATGCTGATGCTGATGTTGGTGATCACGGCGGCGACGACGATGATGATGCTGATGATGATGATGCTGATTATGATGATGATGATGATGATGATGATGATGATGATGATGATGATGATGATGATGATTACGGTGATGATGCTGATGATGATGATCTTGGTAATGATGAAGAGGTCGAAGATGAGGATGAAGAGGGGCAGGGATGAGAAGGGAGGAGGGAGAAAGAGGGCCAGGAGGAGGGGAGGCATGCGGGAGGAGGGAAAAAGAGGGCCAGGGCGGCCGCGGGGGGGAGAGGAGGGCGAGCACTCAGAGGCGGAAGACGTCCGCCATGAGCAACCGGAGCGGCCCGCGGGCGGCGGGGACGGCGTCCGGAAGGCCGGAGCGCCAGCCAGGAAGACCGCGTCAGCAGGCGCGATGCGCCGAGCAAGGGGGAAACAGTGTACGCGTCCATGGATGGCCCTGAGCAAAGTGCTTCATAGGTGTACTTCGGTTGAACCTGCGATGCCATACGCACTGGCGTGGGAGCTGGCGGGCGGCGCGTCCGGGCGTCCCGTGGGGCAGGGGGCGCGACGGCAGCGGGCAGGAGCCGCGGCTCCGAAACATGTGCGCTGCGATGGTCGTCCCCGCGGCTGTGCACTAGGCCATGCCCGAAGCTGTGGAAGCCCACCCGGTCCAGGTTCAGCTCCAGCCGACGTGCACTGTGATGGTGGTCCCCGCGACTCGCCAGTACGCCGTGAGCTTCACCTCTTCTGGCCGAGTCGCCTCGCGGCGGCGCCACGGCGGCCGGAGGGAGGGGTGGTGGTGGTGCACGTTGGCTTAAGCGTTACAGCTGTGCTCAGGCTACCTCGACGACTGGGACACAGACACAAAACTCCAAACTTGGATTCCAGACGACCTCTCCATGGGGCACGCCGTTGCAATCTACGCCCTCTCGCCCGGAGGGGAGGGGAAGGAGGAGAGCAGGCGAGGGAGAGAAAGGGAAAAGGAAGCACGGACCCGCGGCGGGCGATCTGTACTGGAAGCGCGAGGGCCAGCAGGGCGACCGGAGGCGCCAGGCCCGCGGGGCCGTCCGCTCCACAGGGAGGTGGGCGCGGCCGGGCAGCAGAGGGCGCGGAGTGGGGGCGGGCACGGGCGGGCGCCCGGGGGGCGCCGGGGCGGCCGCACCGCACAGCTGCAGGCGACCGGGGAGGGCAAAGCTGCAGGACCGACGGAGGCGACCGGAGGTGCCTGGCCCAGGGGCGGCCGCTCCACAGAAGGCGGAGCGGGGCGGGTGGCTGAGGGCGCGGAGGCGGGCGGGCAGAGGCGGGCGCGGCGGGGGCGCCAGCGGCCGCACGGCGATGAGGCGCGGACGGCGGGGGCAAAGGGCGCGGAGTGGGGTTGGGTACGGGCGGGCGCTCGGAATCAAACCACGATGCGAGTCAAAGCTGCGCCAGGCTAATTGGGAACGCCACCCAAGCCGACCTGCAATAGAGACGCCCATGCAGTGGACCACGACCCGAGAAAGAGAACGAGAGAGAATGAGACAGAAAGAAGCGAAAGGAAGATAGGGGGATACGTGAGGAGTGAGGAGCAGGAGGAGGAAGATGAGGACGGGGGGGGAAGGAGCCCTCCACCGCTGTAGAAGGGGAGGTGAAAGAGGAGGGTAGTGAAGAGGTGGAGAAGGAGGAGAAGGAGGAGGAGGAAGAGGAGGAAGAAGAAGAAGAAGAAGAGAAATGGACGGAAGAGGAGGGGGCGGAGAGGGAACAGGAGGAGGGAGGGAGGAGGAGGAGGAGGAGGAAGGGGGAGAGAGACGGGAGGAAGGGGGAGGAGGACCCCTTCGCCGCATCGGCTCGGCAGGGGGGCCCTCCTTCGCCGCCGAGGAGCGCAGATCGAGGCCCTGCCCTATGCGGCAGGCCGTGGTCAGCATCTCCACCTGGGCCCATGCGGGGCATGGGGGACGGAGGGGGAATGACGAGCAGCATCAGGAGGAGGGGGAGGACGACATGGAGGAGGAGGAGGAGGAGGAGGAGGAGGAGGAGGAGGAGCAGGAGCAGGAGCAGGAGCAGGAGCAGGAGGAGGAGTAGAAGGAGGAGGCGGAAGAGCAGGAGGAGGAGGAGGAGGAGGAGGATGAGGATGAGGATGATGATGATGATGATGCTGCTGCTGCTGAGGAGGAGGAGGAGGAGGAGGAGGAGGAGGAGGAGGAGGAGCGGGAGGAGCAGGAGGAGCATGAGCATGAGGAGGAGCAGGAGGAGGAGAAGAGATGGAGAGACGGTATGGATGGATGTGCATGCAAATTGTATACACATCTACAAATGTATATCCGACACCGTGCCTGCGGCACGTTGAGGCGTGGAAGAGTGCCCAACGCTGCCTGGCAGGGCTTGTGCAGTCTTCTAAGGGCCCCCCCATCTTCCCAGTAACAACCAAGGGACTGTACCACCCCGACTCCTGGGGGGTCCCTGGACGGCCATGGCGCCTCAAGGCTCTCTAAAGCTTGCATGACGGTCCAGAACACCCAACCAGGCCCTCAAGAGGTCTCCTGGGCAGCCCAAGATCGCCTGAGATGGCCCCAAGACTGCCCAAAAGGCCCCAAAGAAGCCCCAAGGCAGGCTCCAAAGAAGCCCCAAGAGCGCTCCAAGAGGACCCCCAAGAGAGCCCAAAGACTTTAAAAACAATGATGTTCACTGTGCTGTTCTTTGTATGTCACCTTAGCGCCTGTTCGCACTTCCGACGCTCCAAGACGGCCCCAGGGACCCTCCAGACCGCCACAAGACGGCCCAAGAGGCACCCAAAAGGGTACCAAGACGGCCCCAGAGGGCACCGAGACGGCTCCAGAGGCGCCCAAGCCAAGCCAGGAGAGCCCCAAGACGGCCCCAGGAAAGGCTCAAGAGGAGGAACACGAGCCGACATTGCCAGCCTTCCGCCCGAAGAGACCCCCAGGAGACCCCAAGAAGCCTCCAAGAAACCCCAGAGGCCCCTAAGAGGCCCCCAAGATTCAAGAGACTACAAAACTGCCACTGAGACCCCGAGAGAGCCCCCACGATATCCCAACGAACATCCAAGAAACTTATAACCCACAACCCAGGCACAGTGTCGGGACTTCCTGTACACAGCTGGGCATTTGTATTTACAGGTATGCAACACTTGAAGGAGGGAAGGAGGGAGAGAAGAGGAGAGAAGGCAACGAGGGGGCCCCTCCTTATCGTACTCCTCCTCCTCCTCCTTCCTCCTCCTCGTACTCCTCATCATCCTTCCCACATGGAATCCCAGCACGAAGTCCGCAGGCTCAAACACCAGCTTGAGGGCAAGGCCGTCCCCAGGTGATCTGCGATCGAGCAGCGTGTTGGGCTGAATGCCTGAAGAGGACGAGGAGGAATAAAATGGGGAGGAGAGTGGCAGAGGAGGAGGAGGCGGAGGAGGAGGAGGAGGAGGAAGCGGAGGAGGAAGAGGAGGAGGAGGAAGAGGAGGAGGAGGAGGAGGAGCAGGAGGAGAGGGAGGAGGAAGAGGAGGAGGAAGAGGAGGAGGAGGAGGAAGAGGAAGAGCAGGAGGAGGAGAAGGAGGCGGATGGGGAGGAGAGGAGACGTGATGGTGAGGAGGTGAAGAGAAGGGGAAGGAGGAGTATCAGGGGGGAGGAGGACTAGGTGAAGGCGGGGAAATGAAAAAAGGGTAGGGGATGGGGAAGTGGAGGACGCAGGGATGGGGGATTGCGAAGACAGCGAGTGGAAGGATTATGATGGTGATGTTGAGGAGGAGTCGGGCGACAAGCAGGAGGAGGCAGACCAACGTCAGCGGGGCCATACCTCCGAAAGAACCTTTAGTCTGATCATGCAGGCGGCGATACAGTGGGCAGACAGCCCTAGATCTCGCGCCCCAAGACAGGCGTGCCTTTCTAAGTTCTGTTGTGGGAGCCCGAGAGGTGGTCTGAATTCGGATGGCTGTTCTCAATCATTGTTTGCGTCTCTGTCGTTGTTTTTGTTGTCGTTGTTTTTGTTGTTGTTGTTGTTGATGTTGTTGTTGTTGGTGTTGTTGTTGTTGTTGTTGTTGTTGTTGAGCATTATTACTTCTAAAGAATAATTATTGTTGGGGCCCCTGGTGCACGACCCCCCCGCCGCGCCTAGGCCGCAGCCTCATTTTCATCATTTTCGTGAGGAAGTCTCAGGCAAAACGGGGGAGTCCGGATCCGGTTGTGTTGTTACGATCGGTTTTCCCTTGCAAAAAATAAGCTAAAGTGGACATTTCTTGTTCTAACATAACCAAACTTCAAGAATCCCTTGCAAAAAAAGAAAGGTAAAGTGGACATTCGCGCGCGCAAGACGAAATCCTTCCAAAACCTTAGTTTTCGTAGCGATTTTAACATAAAAACATCAAAAAACAATGGTTTTTCAAACAAAAATTGTCAAAATTTCATCCCGCGCGCTCTTGCGGATTCGTAGGAAACCCAACACTTTTTAATCATTTCTGTCAAACGGGCTTTTGCGAGCAACTTTTTCGAACTTCTGCAACAACGGTTGCGCACCTGCCAGGGCCATCATCCCTGTCAAATAATACCATGCGGGACACATTCGTTTTTTCTTCGCGCGCGCACGCCGTCGTCGTCGGCCGCGGGGCCCTGAATAGTAGCCACGGTCGTCCGCATGCCACGAAGTGAAGTGTCCGAACGTCATAGGGCGGGAAGCTGGGTGTGGGTGGTGGCGAAGAGTCGTTTGGAAATTTGGTAGAGCTTGAACCGGCCCCCCCACAAAGTGGGGGTATTGCCCGCCTCCTATGAAAACCCTGGCACTGGTGAGAACGGTGTGTCCCCACGTGCTAGTAATTGTTGTTGTTGTTGTTGTTGCTGTTGTTGTTGTTGTTGTTGTTGTTGTTGTTGTTGTTGTTGTTTGTCTCTCTCTCTCTCTCTATCTCTCTCTCTCTCACTCCCTCTCTCTTTTTTTTTTTCCTCTCTCTCTCTCTCTCTTTCTTTCTCTCTTTCTTTCTTTTGTTTGTTTCTCTCTCTCTCTTTCTCTACGGGTGTCTGATCTTCCTTGCTGAGGAGCAGGTCTGCCCTGCCACTTGTACGGTAGGTGGCTAGTGGGCTGCCATGGAGCATCCCCCTCTCACTCCTAAGGATGCGACGGAGACTGCTGTGGGGCAAGGCCCCCCTGTCACCCCTAAGGTGGCGATCCGCCCTGCTGAGCAGAAGGTCGCCCCTGTCACATGGTAAGGTCGGTGACGCATGTGCTGCTGTGGAGCTCGTCCTGGTCACTCCTAAGGTGGCGTCCGCTTGAGGATCTGACGCCTCCAGGACACGGCCTGTCGGCAATGCCAGCGGTCCTGCATGCACGCCCGCCGAGGTACTGACCTCCCAGGCACAGCCCAGCTGCAATATCGGCGGTCCTACATAAACTCGATGTTGCAAAAAGAGGTGGCTGTCGGAAGGTATGCACATTTCACAGAACATACCGTCCACCAATGCCAAGCGCCAGCGCCGGACCTTGTAACAGGCTCCAGGACCATAAGGTTCCTCACGCAACTTTCACAATGACCGCTGTCAATGATGAGACATCCAATATGCCCCATCATTGCTGATAGGGGTACCCCTACCCTCAAGGGATCAGCAATTCACCGTAGTCCTCCCCCTCCTTATCCCCCTCCCTCTCGCACTTCATCCTCCTCCTCCTCCGCCTGGACTCTTGACTCTGGTGGCATCGGAGTCCCTACCTGGATGCTGCCATCCCCCCCTCCCCCAGCGGCCGTTGCCGGTGGGGGGAGGGGATCGAACTAGTCACCTGTAACCTCGAGAGCACAAAAGAAATCCGCCGATCCGGCGTATGAGTTTCTGAGAGCGTGGACTTGAGCTCGCTCAAGCTTCGCTCTGCAGGGGGGGGGGTACGTTATTTCCGACGTCATTTCCGACGTTTTTCGGTACACGGGGATATTTCCGATGTCATTTCCGACGTTTTTCGGCACCCAGGGACAGGGGGGTATAGAAAACTCCACTTCCGGAGCCGACAGCCCAAGAGGAAGCCAAGAGAGGCCCCAGAGGCCCCAGATCGGCGGCACTGGCCGGAGTCCAGCCCAATATGTAAGAACAGGTCCCAAGCCTTCCGTCCCACACCCTGCTGACCCCATCGGTCGTCGATCTAGGGAAGCACGCGCAACCGAGAGCCCGATCCTCGCCGGCCACCCCAAGGAGCGGCGGAGGAAGCAGAAGGGGAGGGGGAGAGGAGGGAGAGCAGGAGAAGGAGGAAAGGATGAGGGAGGAGGAAAGGATGAGGGAGGAGGAGGAGGAGGAGGAGGAGGACCAGTGCAAATCCACGGCACATCGACGATGCTGCAATCAACCCTCCCTCCAAGCTCCCTCTTCACAGGTGCCCACGATTATTTATTGCCATAGCGCGGATTGCCCCATTGAGAATCCTCCATCGTGTCCAAACGCTATTCCTGAGATTTCAGCGCCGCGAGTTAACGTGACTATTGCGTCCTGACGGTGCTAAATCGTGCCAGAACGCCGTTCCTGTGATTCCAACACAGCGAATCGGCATGAATGCTGCGTCTGGACTTTCTTAAACCGTGCCTGAACGCAATTCCCGGGACTTCAGCCACATAAATCCTCGGAACTGGTGCAAACGTTTGAAACCATCGTGCACGGCACTAAGGCAAGAACCACTTTTCCAAAACAAACCACCCTCAATCCGTGAATATACATCTTTTAAAACCATTGTGCGCGGCGCTACGGTGAGAGCAACATTTTGGATAATTACGATCCGCCCTCCCTCTGCGAAGCTGCTGTAAACTAGTAAGACGAATGTGCGCGGCGCTAGAACGAGAACCACAATTTGAAAACCACCCGCCCTCCATCCGTGAAGCTGTTGCAAGCGTCTGGGGGCGCGACAGGGAGGAGTTTTGTTGGAAGGAAAACAGATGGAGGAAGAGGAGGACCAGCGTAAACCCAAGACTCATCAACGATATTGCGATACACCCTCCCTCCAAGTGCCCTTTCCACAGGCCCCTAAAAGGGTTCATGTTCACTGAAGGAAGAGCCCTGTTGGGAGACAACCTATTGACAAATTCTGAGCCGTACCAGAAAACAATTCCTGGGACTTCAGCGCCGCGAATCACCGAAAATGTTGCGTCTTGGCGATCCTGAACCGCGCCAGAGTACCATTCATGGGATTTCAACACCACGGCCAAACGTAACTGCTGCTCCATGACAATCCGACATCGTGCCAAAACACCGTTTCTAGCACGTTAGCCATGAGACTGCCTGACACTCTTTAAACTCTTAAAACGAATGTACGCGGCGCCACGGCGAGAACCACAATTTGAAAAGGTACCGCCCTCCATCCGTGAAGCTTTTGCAAAGTGCTAGAAGGAATGTGCACGGCGCCACGGCGAATGCCTCATTTTGAAAACCACCCGCCCTCCACCCATGGAGCTCCTGCAAAGTATTAGCCTGACGAAAGACCCAACCATATGTAGTTGTGAATACCGCAATTGTGGATATATTCCTCGGTGGAGCTCCCTATGGAGCCACGAAGCGTGTGAGGGGTGTGCCGAAATGGGGGGGCGGAACCGCATGCGAGCGCAGCCACTGGGGCGTTCGGTGGAGCTCCCTATGGGGCCACGAAGCGTGTGAGGGGTGTGCGAGAATGGGGGGTGGAACCGCATGCGAGCGCAGACGCTGGGGCGTTCGGTGGAGCTCCCTATGGAGCCACGAAACGTGTGAGGGGTGTGCCAGAATGAAAGGTGGAACCGCATGCGAGCGCAGCCACTGGGGCCTTCGGTGGAGCTCCATATGGGGCCACGAAGCGTGTGAGGGGTGTGCAAGAATTGGTGGTGGAACCGCATGCGAGCGCAGCCACTGGGGCGTTCGGTGGAGCTCCCTATGGGGCCACGAAACGTGTGAGGGGTGTGCCGAAATGGGGGGTGGAACCGCATGCGAGCGCAGCCACTGGGGCGTTCGGTGGAGCTCCCTATGGGGCCACGAAACGTGTGAGGGGTGTGCCGAAATGGGGGGTGGAACCGCATGCGAGCGCAGCCACTGGGGCCTTCGGTGGCGCTCTATGGGGCCACGAAACGAGTGAGGGGTGTGCCGAAATGGGGGGGTGAAAACCGCATGCGAGCGCAGCCACTGGGGCGTCCGGTGGAACTCCCTATGGGGCCACGAAACGTGTGAGGGGTGTGCGAGAATGGGGGGTGGAACCGCATGCGAGCGCAGCCACTGGGGCCTTCGGTGGAGCTCCCTATGGAGGCCACGAAACGTGTGAGGGGTGTGCCGAAATGTGGGGTGGAACCGCATGCGAGCGCAGCCACTGGGGCGTTCGGTGGAGCTCCCTGTGGGGCCACGAAACGTGTGAGGGGTGTGCCGAAAAGGGGGGTGGAACCGCATGCGAGCGCAGACGCTGGAACCTTCGGTGGAGCTCTCTATGGGGCCACGAAACGTGTGAGGGGTGTGCCGAAATGGGAAGGGGGGTGGAACCGCATGCGAGCGCAGCAAGTGGGGCGTTCGGTGGAGCTCTCTATGGAGCCACGACACGTGTGAGGGGTGTGCCAGAATGAGGGGTGGAACCGCATGCGAGCGCAGCCACTGGGGCCTTCGGTGAAGCTCTCTATAGGGCCACGAAACGTGTGAGGGGTGTGCCGAAATGGTGGGTGGAACCGCATGCGAGCGCAGCCACTGGGGCGTTCGGTGGAGCTCCCTGTGGGGCCACGAAACGTGTGAGGGGTGTGCCGAAAAGGGGGGTGGAACCGCATGCGAGCGCAGCCACTGGGGCCTTCGGTGGAGCTCCCTTTGGGGCCACGAAACGTGTGAGGGGTGTGCCGAAATGGGTGCAGGGGACGCATGCTGATGATGATGATGATGATGATGATGATGATGATGATGATGATGATGCTGATGATGGTAATGGTGATGGTGATGATGCGGATGATGATGATGATGATGATGATTATGATGATGACTATGATGATGATTATGATGATGCTGATGATGATGATGAGGATGAGGATGACAATGATGATGATGGTGGCGATAACGGCGATGATGATGGCGATGATGGTGATGATGACGATGATGACGATGATGACGACGACGATGATGACGATGACGATGACGACGATGATGGTGATGATGATGACGATGATGATGATGACGGGAGGAGGGAGGAGGGGGGAGGAGGAGGAGAGGAGAGGAGAGGAGAGGAGAGGAGGACGCGGGGCACCGTCTCTTCAAAACGAGGACCAAACACCACAGGATGGTTGGGAATTAAAACGAATGTTCGCGGCGCCATGGCGAGAACCATATCTAGTAAACCACCCGCCCTCCATCCCTAAAGCCCTTGCAAGTTCTTAAGACGGATGTGCGCGGCGCTGAAACGAAAACCTCATGGTCGAAAACCACCCGCGCTCCAAACGTGAAACTTTTGCAAATTCTGAGCTTCAAGATCGTAAAGCATTGTTAGAATTGCACGCGAAACGCCCGGCCCGCCCTTTTCGACCGGCATCGGGGTGCGACAAGGAGGAATTACGCAGAAGGAAAAGGAATGGAGAGGGGAGGAGGGAGAGGAGGGACAGCAGGAAGAGAAGTAAGGAGAGGAGGAGGAGGGCGGGGAAGGCGGAAAGCTCAAGGGATCCCAAAGTTTCCAAAACGTTCCAGGATGTGAAAGCCCCACGCCAGCACCTCCGTGCGTGAAAATGCGAGCAGACGCATCACGCCCCCGCATGGATCAGTGCCTTGCGCGCGCGCGCAGTCGTTGCCATCGTGCAGAGAGTGCGATCGTATCCGCGGGCCCACCCACAGCGTGGCGTCGCTCTCCTTCTCGGACGCGAGCCGCACCCTGAGAAGCGGGGTCGGACGGCAAGGGGGGGGGGGCTCTGTAGCTCCTCGACCCGGCCTTCTGCCGCTACTTCTGCTGCCCCTGCCCGAATCCTGCCCTTCTCTTGCTCTCCCCGTCCTCGTGTCTGCCCTTTGCCCCCCCCCCCCCCCCCCCCCCCTCTGCCACCCCTCTCTGCAGGCAGCGCCTCCCCCTTGTGCGCCTCCTCTGCCATCCTGCCTGCCTCCCTTCCACCCCCGCCCTCCCTCCCCCCTGCCTCCTCCCCTCGCGCCTGCTCAGGCCAGGTCGCCATGCTCGTCGCCAACTCTCACGCTTGACCCCAGCTGACACTCTGGGGGAAGGCCTGCCGAAGCTCGTGGCCGGAAGCATCGTGGCCGCGACCCGCGCCCTGATTCCTCAGGGCCGCCGTCACGAGGCTCTTCGGCACGAGCGTCGTGCCTGGCTGGTGCGGCACCGTTTGCTCCGCGCGTCCCTGGACGCGGTGCAGGCTGAGCAGCGGGGAGGAGGCATCAGGAAGTCTGTAGTGCCTCGCCCGCCCTGCCTACCTTCCTCCTCCTCCTCCTCCCCCTCCCCCTCCTCCTCCTCCTCCTCCTCCTCCTCCTCCTCCTCCTCCTCCTCCTCCTCCTCCTCCTCCTCCTCCTCCCCTCGCGCCTCCGCTCCACCCCCCCGCTTCTCTCTCTCTCTCTCTCTCTCTCTCTCTCCCTCTCTCTCTTTCTATGTATCTCGCTCCGCATCCTCCTCCGCCTCCGCCCCTCGCTGCCTGCCTCCCTGCCTCCCTATCCTCCCCTCCTCCTCCTCCTCCGGCCTCCGCCCCTCCCTCTCGCGCCTCCCGCTCCCCCTCCTCCGCCTCCGCCCGTCCCCTCCTCCTCCTCCTCCTCCTCCTCCTCCTCCTCCTCCTCCTCCTCCCTCCCTGCCTTGCTCTCCTCGCGCCCCCGTCCACCCCCCCGCCCCCCTCTCTCTACCTCCACCGCCTTCCCTCGGCTTTGCCGGACGCGCCCCTAGCCCAGGGCTGAGCCTAAACGGTATTTTTCGTTTTCGTCTCGTTTTCGTTGTCCATCGTTTTGTCTTCAACCCGCCTCTGCCGCAAAACGAAGTCGAAACGAAAACGGCCCACGAAATCGCCAAAACACCGTTTAGGTCCAGCCCTGCCCTAGCCCAAGATGCCCTGGGGGCTACCCGGGAGGCCCCGAATGGCCTCCAGGGCACCCCTCACGAGGCCCAGAAAGCTCTGGTGTCCATGGGCACCCGGACGCGAGTCAGAGGGAACAGAAAGAGACCGATGCGGCTACTCCCTGGACCTCTCCCGGGATGCTCCTGGGTGCTCTCTGAGCAGGATTTCGAAGCGAATCCAGCCGTGGCGAAGACGGACGGGCAGCGATATTGGTATCCTTTCCTCCTCTGAGGGCCCTCGCATGTGCAAGCCGACCCCAGATCCGCACGGCACCCGAAGGCGAGCGGACCAGACTGGCTGCGGCGTGGTGGCCGTGCAGGTGGGCGGAGTGGGCTGGCCCTGAGCCCCTTCGGCCCAAAGTCCCGACTCTCGGAGCGCACTCCTCGCTATCACGGCCAGCCCGCGTGCTGCCATTGACGTCGCAAATGTTGAGCCACAGGCGCAGAGCGACACCTGAAGGAAGAAACAAACTGCATAAGCACAAACGTTCTAAAGTCCGTGCAGACGGATCTCTTGGATCGGCGCGCGTTCCGCGCGCCAGGGAGAGGAGCCCAGCGACGATCCAAGAGAACCTTGCGGACCACCCGTATGTGATGTTTTTGCCGTTCGTTCTTCTTCGTCGTCGTCATCAACGCCGTCATCGTCGTCGTCATCACCACCACCACCACCATCATCATCAACATCATCGTCATCATCACCATAGTCGTCATCATCAGCAGCAACATTATAATCATTACCAGCATCATCATCAGCATCAGCATCAACATCACCATCACCATCACCATCACCATCACCATCATCATCATCATCATCATCATCATCATCATCATCATCATCATCATCACCATTCTCATCATCAGCATCATCACCACCACCACCCCCGTCATCATGATCATCATCATCAGCAGCATTATCAGCATCGTTATCCTGAACATCATCATCACCAAGACCATCACCATCAACATCAACATCAACATCATCATCATCATCATCATCATCATCATCATCATCATCATCATCATCATCATCATCATCATCATCATCATCATCGGCATCATCACTATCATCGTAGTGTTATCGTTATTCTTGTTATCATTTACATATCTTCGATTTCTTCGTCGAACACCGAAGCGCTCACTCAACCCACTCGTGCACCACACGAGATGGGGACGCCACGGGTATGGGAGTGAGGAGCACCATTCTGCATCACATGGCCCTGAGCTCACTTGAAGGCAACGTTTAGGGGGGACCAGCTTAGGGGGAAAGCATCGAGCTAGAATGGGCGATGCATCGCCGATTGGTCGGCGATACGTAGGCCCCCGATAGCGGATCCGCATCATCCTGGGCGGAGTGGGCCATCAGACTCCCTATCGGCGACGAGTAGGCGATGAGGGTCCTGAGCGCATTCCCGCCCCTCCTCCCTCCCTTCGTTCGCCCCACAGTCGGCCTCCACATTTGCCACTGCACGCAAGCAGCACATGCCTTGTGTGACCCCGGGCACCATCGCTCCCCCCCTCGACGAGCAGCGGTTGACGAAGCCATGGCGGGAACAGGGGGACTGATGCCCGCCTCCCCTCCTCCCGTCATCCTTTCCCCCGCCTCCTCCCTCCTCTTGCCTCCTCCCTCCTCCAACCTCTCCCGCCTCCTCCCCCGTCCTCCGCCGCCGTCTCCCTTCCTCCATCCTCAGGGTGGCCAGGTGGGCCTCTTCTTCCGCGTCACTAGCTCGAAAGTCGTCAGCGGCAGGGGACTCCTCTCTCGGGGATCTTGCGAGCAACGGGGGACCGCCAGGGAGAAAGGATGGGACAGGAAAGGCTGGGCAGGAAAGTTGGGTAGGAAGAGGGAGGAGACAGGAGGGGCGCGGAGCAAGGATAGAGAGCACAATGAGGAAGGAGTTGGAGAGAAGGAGTGGGGTATGAGGAGGACGAGGAGGAGGAGGAGGAGGAGGAAGAGGAGGAGAAGGGATAAGGAGGAGAAGGAGGAAAAGGAGGACGTGGAGGAGGAGGTGTCTCGTGGGGGGGTGGCTGTCATGCGCATGGAAGGAGAGAACAGCGTGCGAATGATCTACTGCCCCCTTCCTGGTGGAGTCGTTCAGTCGGGTGGTGTCCGGGTGGTGTCTCTGCGTTTGCTGCGCTCGCCCCTGCTGTCCTTCGGCGCAAGGGGTCCGGGCCAGGTGAGGACCGCCACCCCTCGCCGTCGATTGCCAGTCGCTTTTCTCGGGGGTCCAGAATGTGCCGAAAGTTCTACATGGGTCATCCAACTGCAAAGTTGCTGGAGAGAAAGGAGCATGCGCATTGGCCACGCTCGTTGGACTTCTCTCCGTGGCGTCAAAGCCGATCAGGCTGTTTCGGAGGATACGTCTGCAGAAGAGAAGTCTCCGCTTTGCGTGCTCCACTGCTGTCGATTGGTGGGCCACGCATGGTGCTGGTGTACATGATCTTTCTGGAGAAGAAGCGCACGATTTCCTCACTGCGTATGTAGAGTACCAGTCTCTCTGGTCTGGTGTGCTGTCTGTGATGTCATGTGTTCCGCTGGTTGAAGCTCAGTAAGGAAAGCTCTCGAGGCCCCATCAGGCTTCAAGGGTTAGGGCCCCTAGGAGCATCCATATCTTACTGCGCCATGGGAACTGCCATACGTGCACTCGCTGCTTACGTCTTGTTGTCTACCCTCCTTACTGGGGGGCACCACGATCTCCACTGGGCGCGTGAGGTTGGGTCGGACCAACCTGTCATGCTCTGTGTTCTGTGCGGAGGGCTTGCCTCGTGTAAAGGGACGAGAAGCTCCGCATAGCATGCACAAGCTCAAAAAGGCGCTCGGAATGCGCGAAGCTGCTCGGAGGGCTGGTGCCCGGGACCAAGTCCAGGCTCGGCCAATCAATTCCCCTTTCCTCACTTCCCTCTTTCCCTCGTCCCCCTCCCCCGCCCCAGCCGATGCTTTCCTCGACTGGGGCATCCCTGCGAGTGCCCTCCATTTCCTTGTTGTCGTGTGCCGGCAGTAGATCGGATGATCGAACACACCCGGGTCGCTGCGTCGCTGAGTGGAGGAGGAGGAGGAGGAGGAACAGGAGGAGGAGGAGACTGCCTGACTGACTGAACATGCATCGATGCCGAGCGCTGATCCAGACGATTCACCCGTTGAGCCTGGTGGTACGACATTCACACTTTCTCCGGGAGAATCAGGGGGCCATCTTGCACACTGGGGAACGCTAGGCCGAAGTCGGCCCCACACAATGTGCTGGCATGATACGGGCAAGGCCACCTGGGCACGGGGATACACAACAACGCGATCTGCGGCCCCTGGATTCCTTCTGCAAAATCCTCCAGCGAAGCGCTGCCAGGCGCTGCTCCCATGGGGTCTCGGAGGAGGAGGAGAAGAAGGAGGAGGAGGAGAAGAAAGAGGTGGACGAGGAGGAGGCGGAGGAGGAGGAGGAGGAGGAAGAAGAGGAGGAGGAGGAGGAGGAGGTGGAAGAGGAGGAGGAGGAAGAGGAGGAGGAGGAGGAGGAGAAGGATACGGAGGAGGAGGAGGAGGAGGAGGAGGAGGAGGAGGAGGAGAAGGAGGAGGAGGAGGAGGGGAGGGGGAGGAGGGGGAGGAGGAGGAGAGAAGGAGGAGGAGGAGGAGGAGGAGGAGGAGCAGGAGGAGAGGGAGGAAGAGGAAGAGGAGGAGAAGGATCGGGAGAAGGAGCGGGATGATGATGAGGATGAGGATGAAGATGGGCAGGAGGAGGGGGAGGAGGGGGAGGGGGATGATGATGAGGAGGAGGAGGAGGAGGAGGAGGAGAAGGAGGAGGAGGAGGAAGAGGAGGAGCGAAACATACAGCTGGAGACCAGCGTCAGTTCGTGGAGAAGCGCCCGGCGGCCCGGCGCCGCCGCACAGGCTCGGTCAGAGCCTCAGGGCGGGTCGAACGGCCTTCCCGGCGTCGGCGTTCTTGCGGTAGGGCAGCCCGTTGCCGTCGGAGGGCGTGTCGCTGCTGTTGAGGAAGTGGTGCGCACGGTATGCCACGGCGACGCGCGTCGCGGCGCTCAAGCTGACGTTCTCGCCGGCGGGCAGGTTGCCCGCGAGGCCGAGGCGCGCCAGGACGTTGGCGTCGAGCTGGCCGCGGGGCGAGGCGAGCGCCAGGATCCGAAGACGCAGCTCGTCTTGCACAGGTCCACGTGCGCGCGGTAGCTGTTCGTTCGTGCGCCCGCGTGAGTCTTTAGGATACGCTGCAGCCGCGACGGTGGAATCTCGGCGATCACGTCGTTGCTCGCCACTCCTGTCGTGGAGGTTTGGAGCTGGGCCATGGAGATCATGTCGGAGGCGTCCTCAGTGTCCTCGTCGGTGGTGGGCGGGAGCGTCGTGTCGCAGTCGTCGTTCGCAGTGTCGCCCTTGTGGACCCAACGTCGGCGGGCTCGGTATGCTGCAGCAGCAAGACGCCGTTGCTGTTGGACTTCTGAGCTGGGACGGTCTCGGCGATATAGTCGGTGTCGCCGCCATCGCCCAGGCTCGGTTTTAGCCCGAGCCTTTTTCGCAGAAGCCTTTCGCTAGCTGCCGCAGGTACACTCGTGGAACTCGCGGCACAATGTATAAGCTATACCTTTTGGGAAAAAAAGGAAAAACTTACGTAACGTGCGGGGCGCGCACTTGTGGTCAATCGTCCGCGGCGCCGCCGTTGAAGTTGTCCAGGTAGGTGTCCGGGAGCCAGTCCGCTGCCCAGCGTTCCGCACTTTCGGCGAGAGCGTTCTCGGCTTTGGCTGCGCGGGCGAAGTCTCTGCGTTCGCGATCTCGGCGGCTGCCTTCGGCGCGTTCGTCGACCTCGCTATCCAGACCATCGGCATCGCGCGGGGCGCGTGTGACGGCGTTTCAATGCTTTGAGGCGTTGCCGCCGCCTGCTCGCTGAGTCTGATTAGCGCTGTCACCGCTTGCTGCTTGCGCGTCAGGGCTGACCATCGGGAACCCCGATGCAATGCGCTCGACGGTGGTCTTGCCGCAGTCTTGCCCCGCCGCCATTAGGCGCATTTATGTCGCGAGCGGTTTTGCGACCTTGCTCTGCAGCGCGGCGATGGATAATGAGAAGTTGGCGATCTGCAGCCTTTGAACTGCCAGGCGACCGCGCGAAATATCTACGCATGGAACAGCTGCCCTTGGGATGGAGGGCGCCGGCGGGCCTTTTCTGCAAGCGCTGCGCAATCGAGAATTTGCCTAGCCAGCAGTCTGCGCACCGTTGGCCATCATTGAGTTTGACCCCGGTCTGGTTCTCGCATGCGACGGTCTTCAGCTGCTCCGGAGTGGATTGTCGCCCCGTCAGTGGCGCAGTCGCTGTGCGCCATGTCGAGCCGACAGCAGCACCTCTGAGCCCGTGGGGACCTCGCGGCCGCTCCACGCGCGCATAGCTAGGATGTCCATTTTCGTGAAGATCGAAAGGCTCGCGCGCAGTAGCTCGCGCAATGCATTTATTTCTTGAGCCAGGGAGAACGGAGCGGGAGGGTAGAGCTGGCCGGCGTAGCAGAGGCAGGTGATGGCGACAATGTTACAGAGCTTGATGGACATCTGGATCGGGCCGCGCGATTCTCCGAGAATCTGGGCGCGGGCCCAACACTTCCCCGCGGTTTTGGTCCACTGGCCCGATACAGCGGCGCATGGGCCGACTAAGACTCCCAAGTGCCGCGCCTTGTCCGCAACGTTGAAGTCGCGCCAAACCGGGCTGATCTCTTTCAGGATGCTGCGGATCTTCGAGGTGAAGTCGCGGGTGGGTAGCATCCAGACAGGGAATGCGATGCATGTCTTCGGTTGCAGGCACAAGCCAACATGTTCTTCAGCAGCTAGACGATCAGGATGCAGAAGCCGTGGGTCACGGAGCCGTGCGAGTGCGATGCTGACGTCATCCGCGCACGCGCTGAGCTCGCCTGCGCGGCGGGCGCCCAAGATGCGCCGCATGCCGCGCAAGAAGGGGCTGAATCTGAGGGCCCAAAGCGTGCCATTCATCGGGCAACTTTGAGCAACCCCACGCGCTGCCGTGAGCATTTGGGCGTCGTACACCGCACAGCTCAATTAAGTTGACGGGCAGGAAGGCCAGGAAGGTTTTTTTTTTTGGGGGGGGGGTATTATTTGTTTTTATAAAAAACGGTGGCGGACCGAGCTCCGTGACGATACTGCTTTGACTTAAAGATGCGGTCAGCTGACTGCGATCAAGCGAACAATCTAAACAGAATTTGCACACAGGAGGAGAATCACAAACGGCAAGCAACACACGCAGCATTTATGACTTCTGGCACTCAACGTCGGAGCAAGCCCAGGACTTCAGCTCCTGTTCAAGCGATTCAAGCGTAAGCGACCTTCGCTAAAATGGAGTGGCATAGGAGATCCGGGAGACATGCAGCAATGCCACACTGAAACCCCATGCAACGCATACTTTCCGCGCCTGAGCGATGGCTGAACAGGCGGTCCTCGTCCCACTACCCAAAAAACAAGACCAACCTCCACCCCCACCCACATATCCCCCCAGCGCTTGAGCAGAGCCCAAAGCCAAGGGCGCGCCAGGCTCAGAGGCATCGGCAATGTCCACACTCAGGAAGCAGGGCAGGTAGCCGTCAGCGTTGGGATCGAGGCTGTACTCTGCTCTTGGCGTCCACTTTGACTGCGCTGTTGGAAAATTGGCGTGCAGGTACGGAGCCTTGTTGAGTCTTGGAAGTAAGCAGCACCACTGGGTGTAGTTTGCAATTGGCGGCTGAAACCATAATCTTGATGTCGAGCTTGCCCGCGCGGTACTGCTACTGCTT